GGACTAACAATAAAGCTAAGATATACAACAATCACTCCAATTCTCAAAGGAAAGAAAATAACCCAAAAAGAACATCTAAAAAGTTAAGTGCCAAATATTTTTGAGACTGGAGCACTGCAGTCTTAATAATCTTGCATCTACATAACAATGTGCAACACTCTACTGAAAAGCAAACATAGTCATGTCAGAAATAATGTAGGACTTCAAGCTCTTCCTCAAAGCACACAGTCTGACACTGCCCCTGAATTTACCTTACTCATTACTCTTCTCAAAATGTGGTTGTTATGATTTCTTTTTTTCTTTTGTGTTTTTTCCCCTATGGTTTATTCCCTGTTGTCACTGTATTTGATTCTGGTACCCTGGGTATTGTATATATGTTTATCTGAATTAGGAAAGGGAAGGCAAACAAAAAAATGATAGGACATAGGACAGAACCAATGTAATAGTGATACTCACAAGACAATATGTTAAATTGGGGGGGAGTAGGAAAGTGGGAGAAAAATAAGGGAGGGGATAACAGTTTGACAAGAAATTTACTCACTACCTTACTTATGTAACCGTAACCCCTCTGTACATCACCTTGACAATAAAATTAATCCAAAAACAAGGAAAAGAAAAACCATAAACAGTGGTTTCTATGGGAACAGGCAAACCAAAGATAATCTATAGACAAAAATCCCTCACCTTCCTCTACCTACCCATAGTGCTTCTTTTTATCACAATTCTTATTGCATTTATTACTTTCTATTTTGTAGTAGAGTCATTTATGCAGGCTGTGATCTCTCCACCTCCATGGTAGGCTCTTAAAGAGTACAGAAACCTTGTCTTATTCACCTTTGGATTTCCAATAAAACCTTGCACAAAGAAAACAGTAAATAAGTGGTTTGTTTAGGCGGGATGGGAGCAGATATACTAAAAAGCACTGCACAACTCAACACTATGTCTACACTATTTAACCTTTGGGGGAAAAATTACTAAGCCTCTCAGCCAGCCAATTAACTGGTAAGAATTATGCAATTATGCCTATTTTCCAGGCTCAAAAGTAGTTGAAGAAGCCTAACTCCTGAATAATGATAAGGTAGAGTAAGAATTCAGGCACACTAATGCTAAAACAGTCATCGACATTGTTTCTCATAGATTTAACTTTCTTTCTGAGACCAAAATTATCTGTCTGATCTTTACAATGCCACTTTTCCTAAAGAAATTAAAATAATAAGACAAGTCCCAATGACTTAAACTTAAAATCCTAGCTTTTCTGGAGATAGAGACTGGGAGGACTGGGGTTCAAAGATGGCAGGATAAAACATCCATGAGAAAGTGTTTCAATCACTAAGCATATGCTGTAGTCCTAGCTACGTGGCAGGCTAAAAGTAGGAGGATCAAAGTCTGGAGCCATTGTGAGAAGAAACTCAAGATTCTATCTGAAAAACAACTAAACCAAAAAAGGAATGAGGTATAACTCAGGTGGTATGGCCCCTGCCTAGCACACATGAGGCTCTGAGTTCAAATCTTAGTTTTGAGAAAATAAAGATGAAACAGAAAAGAGGAAAATATTCTAGAATATTCTAGAGACCAGTTTTCTCTATAGAAAGAAAGTCATGAGGTTGATCTGAGACCTTTAAATGGTCTCTTGATGTCTTAGGGTACAGCTAACACATTAACAAGGCACATTTGCTATAAGCAAGCTGATACGACATTCCTTCAGCAAAGATGTAAACAGCATCCATACAGTTGAGTTGCCCAAGTGTAGATAGCGTTGAACACAAAGGAATTTACTTTTTTTTCCCTTTTCTTTGTTGGTCGTGTGGCTTGAACTCTGGGCTTGGGCTCTGTCCCTGCGCACAAGGTAAGTGCTCTACTGCTTAAGCCACAGTGCCATTTCTGGTTTCTAGTGGTTTATTGAAGATGAGTCTCACAGACGTTCCTGCCCAGGCTGGCTTTGAACCATGATCCTCAGATCTCAGACTCCTGAGTAGCTAGAGTTATAGGTACGAGCCACCCATGGGTGGCCATCTGGAATTTACAATTGAATTGATAGTTCTATCATTTTTCCTAATCAATGACATGATTCTAAAAATCAGATGTTTTTTGTGAAATAGGTATTTTTAAATGAAAAAATAAACTAATGATAAAATATATGTACAATTTTTCACTCAAGCCAAAATGCGTATTACTGTTTCCTGACAGTATATAAATCAGAAGGTGGTCCAGTTGGTATTTTCTGCCTGCATTTAAGAGTATCCTTTTTCTGTACCTTACTTTATGATGTTCTATTTTTATCATCAGATGACATTAGTGTGTACACAACAGACAAGAGAGCATTTGCAATGTGTATGAAGAAAAAAAAGAAATTTACATTTTAACTATGCACAGTACTTGACACTGACCTTACGTTTTAAATCCATATTTCTAATTTTACATATAAGAAGCTAGTTTTAAAGGCAGTAATATATTTTGAACTCCTTAGTCTTTTGTCTATGATCAGCAGAAGTGAGTAAAGGAGACAAATACTACCTAGAGTCACAATTTATTTGGGAAAGTAAATATTTCCTAGTTCTGTACTCACAGGATAAAGGGAGGTACAAGAGGTACAGGAGAACAGGAGGAGACAGGTAGGTACACAGTGAGGAAGGAAGCCATGCTCCTAGCAGGTAGGTCTGTAAATGTTATAGTTTTTTTAAAGTCAGACTGACCTTTCCAAGGGGGAAAGGCAGGCAGCCACCCACACAGAACTAGTTAAGGACTGATGAAAGGCTGGTTGAACCAGTTTCTTATTTACTAGTTCTTAGAATACAACAAAAGTAAACATCATACACAAATAGCTTCAGGAGACAAGAAAGGCAAGCACGCTTACTGTTATCCACACACAGTGTAGACCAGTGATTCACTGATGAGGGCACGTATGGATATGTTTGCAGATGTACACACACATTTACTTCTGTCTGGGTGCACATCTATGTGTATCTGTGTACGCATGTAGATGTAGATAAGTCAGAATTTAAGTATTGTGATAGAGCAGAATGAAACATTACAGAAAAGAGCATGTACTTTTTGTTCAAACTCTTCCAGCTTCCTGTCACATAGACTGGCTCAAGAGGTGAGCAAATGATCCAGAGTAAATTTCAAGTAGAAAGATGTAAGTAAAGAAATTGTAGGGACAATGCCAATGCTGAAGTTCAGGCTTCTGATTGTCAGCAAGGTTGAGGCTATTCAAGTTCTAGGAGAAGGAAGCTGGACCTCTGGGAGGATACTGATGTTGAGAGAGGAGAGCTAGGGACTTCGCCCTACACAGACGAGATCTCCATGCCAACTCTACAATGCTACAACTTTGAACTATTATATTTTCTATTTTAATTATAATCACACATTACACCTACATCTGGAGCACTGGGACAACACCCATTTCTCAAAAGCATTTGGAGTTTATCATCATGAAGCTCAAGGAATTCCCAGTGCATCTGTTAATTTTACCATATCCCCCCAGTAAATATACTCTCCCACTCTACTACACAATTATTTTTCTCTTTCCTCAAACCTTAAGTACCTTCTTCTTTCCCTTGCTCATGTTTAAATGACAACATTCCTTAACTTAATGAGAAAATATAAACTATTAGAATCCACCAATCTCTGACACCTCTAACCTGCCTCTAATTCCTCTTGTTTTCATTGTTTGCTGCACTGCCCAACCCCTGAACTTTCCATTCTCTTAAGTCTAGCCACATAGATGTCTGGATGACATACCTGCTTAATGATTTAGGGGCATCAATCTTGTAATATTGTCTCTTTCATACAATTTGTCCTTCTCTACTGGATTTTTCCCAATTACTTAAAATCTCCTTTAATTCCATATTCTCATTGAGTTTCTATCATCCATTTTTTGATCACTTGTGTCAAGAATTTCCAGCAAGAGCTTTCTGGGATAATACAAGTTAGCTATATCCTGTCACTCTATTTTTCTCTTGCCATTGTGTCTTGAACTCAGTTTGATCAGGATTTTGTTCCCATCGCTCCACTGAAGCAGCTCTTGCCAAAGTCAAGGATGTATTCCATTTGGCCAAATACAATGGTCAATTCTTAGTTCTCATCATACTTGGTCTATTAGCAGCAGTTGATGTAGCTTTCAACTCTCCTGGAAACACTTGTTCCACCAAGTTCAAGGATAATCGCTCTCTTCTCTCCCTCACCAGCATCTCCTTTCAGTCTGTGGATTCTCAGCTATCTGTGTACCACCTACAAGAGGGTACCAACCCTCTCCTTTGTTCTACCTTCATCTACTTAGGTGATTCATCTCATTTCATAGCCTAAAATAACCTATGCATCAACAATTCTCAAATTTATATTTCTAGCCCAGATAGAAAACCATGCATCCAAATGTTTACTTAACATCTCCTTGTTATCTAATAAACAACTCAAATGTAACATATGTTAACAAAGAAGAACCTGCAAAGATAGAATTTTAAAGTTTTTTTTAAAAAGTTTAAAATAGAATCAGCCTTCATTCGCTAAGCTATCAACTGTCAGGTACCATATTTGTATCCATTTCCTTCAAGAGTGAAAGTTCTTTCAAAATATATCTGTCATTTCTCCACAGTGGCTGATCAAACCTGCCACTGAAAAATGTTCCGAACAGGCAACTTGTAGTATAAGCATGGTTTATTTCTGTCGGAGACTGACTGCTGAAGTGTGAAAGAAACTCATTAAAAATCTCTTACTGTGATCTTAACATTGTTTAAAGAAAACGTAAGAAAGAAAAGCAGGAAAACTTTAATGACAGGTACATTGAACCTTCAGACACTCATCTGTATGTTTCTTTCATATTCTTCAGAAAGCAATTAAGACTGTATATAGTTCTTGGTATGTGGTATGCACTGGTTGTTTGGGAGAAATCAAATAAGATAAAAATTTTATTCTATGCTAATATGAAAAGTTGATGAGAGAGATCAGAATACCACAGTGTAGGAAAAATGATTTTAAAAAAAGTGAAGAGCAGTATTATTTACCTTAATCTTAAAACAAGGTTCACGGCACAAGAGGCTTCTCTGTAGTCTTCACTAGCATTGGGTTGGCCCTTTGGAAACAAAGCAGCAAACAGTGTTGTAAACTTCATTGGGAAAGGAATGAATAAAAATCACAATATCTGTCAATTTATATAGTTCTTCTCTTCTGAAAATTTAAAAACTATGGCTCAATGCCTACAGGCCATATTTCTTCTCACAAAACTTTCCCATGAGAAATACAATGATACCAAATTCCCGCCATACTTTTAGTATGAATGTTTCCTACATAGCCTCAGTCTCAGCATGGATTCTATGAATAACTAATTTTACAATAGCTGGTCTAAAGGAGTGGCAGCCATTTACATTGGTACCATCTAATTCATAAAAGAGTCTGTCATCCACCCGGCCTTGGTGATATACTAAATGTGGGCCATAAGCTTTAAGATGGCAAAGTAAGGAATCTTTATCTTTCTCACTTATGGCCTATTTCCTTAAATACAGATTATCAATGGTGAATGACCCAACATCCACTCTCCACAAAGCCATCCACAGGAGTAGCACTGCTTATAGAGTGTGAAAAAGAAAACACGATTTCAGGTCAGGACCCAGTGCTGACAATTTATGCAACCATGGACAAATCGTTCTCTGAACCTATTTTCCCATTTATGAAATAGGGATAACACATTCCCAAAGGTTGTTGTGGAAGTAATATAATGAAGTGGGCTGCAAACTAATCTCTGCAAGCCTTTGTGACCTCAGCTATAAAATAAAAGCCAAGGACTAGATATTAGACCTCAAATAGACTTCCAGTAACCATGAAACTCCTCCCTCTAGCCATCTCCTCAGTATATAGCTATTTCATAAAACACAGGTCAGGTAAAATAGAAATCAATTGAAATGGAATGCGTATATTTAGAATAAAGTGTAAGGCTAATGATGTTTTAAGGCATAATCACTTTGATAGCTAAAAGGCTTGTCTATGAATTACATAACAAAACTAATATGTGGGCCTGCACTGTGCCTCTCTGTCCACGGTTCTTCTGCTGGGTTACTGAGCATCCTTCAATGCCCAGCATGACTCATGGTGTTGTATTCTATACCTTTTATAATTATGCATTAAAGATATTTCACAAGACACTGCCTATAATTTTTACAAGGAAGTTGTAGAGATGAATGGGCTCATAAAATTCAGTGATAAAAGAACTATGAAAGGAGGTTATATGAACCCAACCAGGAGCAAAAAGTAAAGCATCAATTAACCACAATATGTTGTGGTGGAAATATAAAAGATTTGTGAGTCATATTCGTTCCTTATTTTCCAGAGAACCAGCCATTTAAGAATAGTTCTGGTAGTCTTGCTCTTGAACCTATCATTTAATGATTGGACATCCTGCAAAAGATAGCCAATAGTAACAGTACTCTTCCTCATAAGAAAGACTTTACAATCCCGATATGGAAGCACTATCTTGAAATTGCCTACCAGTCTCAAATACTCAGATGTTCTAAAGTTCTTTCCACAAAGTATGTCAAATTGAAATGACTGGCAGAACATACCTGAGAGTCGTGCACAGAGAGGGACTGTATTTGCTTGGGGATACTGCTGGCATTCACCGAGATCTGTTAAGAGAACCACTGTTACAACACTCAAGGAATCCAAAATTAAATATGTGGTCACTGTTGTTATGTGACATCCCAATTCTCAGAGACAATAATTTTCAGGACATCTTAAAGCATCAGAGATTCCCAACACAGATGCCAAGTGCTTTTGCTTATCTGTAGTGGAAATCATCTAGGGAATGTGCTATTGACTCCTGGGTCCTACCTGTTCTGATTCAAAATTTCATGGAAACAGAGAAGACCAGTATCTTTAACAAGTTCCCTGGGGTAGCCCATACGCATTTGGAGAACCACTCAGATAAAGACAAAAAGCATTAACTACTTGAGATTTTAAACATGAAAGCAACTTACTTTTGCTGATCCAAAGTTAGGGGGCCATTAATGTCGAGTCAGTAAAAGTCTAACATTTAATTATTATTTTGAATAATAATTTGCTGTATTTAAAAGTACATGAAGGTAAGTGAATTTTAAAAATTCCCAAACAAAAACACCATATAGGTTTTATTTTTCTCTCGGAGCTGGAATTCTGGCCCTAGAGAGATACTCAAATTACTTTTGCCTCAAGGTCTGCTTTTGTGAACTGTGTCCTAGAGCAACACTAGAAAGACAAAATAATAAAATAAAAAGAGGATCTACTCTTTACTGACATAATATCAATTCTGAAATCATCAGTAATTTTTTTGGGGAGACAAGAGTTTTCTAATGTTTAAGAATATAAAATTCTTACTCTCTGTGATTTCCCAAGAATAACTACAATAGTACTGAAGTAATGGGAAGAAGTTTCCTGATGTCTGTACTTATTTTGAAATGCCTCAAAAAGTTCAGAAAGTGGGAGGTGGAAGGATAGATCAATAGAAGCTTACCTATGCAATAGAGCAAGCGTAACAGTAAGGCCTTGGCTAGCAGTATATGAGCTCATGATCAAGTGTGTAAATGCTACTAAATGTTTGAAAAGGGTCATAAACAAATGTTAGGTAGGGGGATGAGTATGTTGGAACAAACAACTAGCCAGAGAGCTAAGGCCTATCATCAAGCTGATTCTGCGATATGTATTAATGTTTCAGTTACAAAGGCTATACTGCCATTGACAGAATATCCTACCTCTAGGATGAGACCAGTACTAATCTGAAAAACCATAACCTTAGTGACATTTCCTTAGAGGAGGTAACTTAAGGCCTCATCTCCTGACCAGCTCACTTGTGTCTCTGCCATCACTGGGAAAAAGATCTAGTCAACTGGATTGGGCAATGGGACCAGACCACTCACATTCTTGCAACCTTGCTGTATAGGTGTTACCCTGCATGGACATAAAGGGACAAGCCTCTGCTTCCACTAGAGCAATGCAGAAGGTTCCTTAGAAAATTGATCAGATGTCCTCATATAAAACACATTCTTGGGAAGATGGCTCAGTGGTAGAATGCTAGCCTTGCATGCATGAGGCCCTGGGTTCCATTCCTCAACACCACATACACAGAAAAAGCTGGAAGTGGCACTGTGGCTCAAGTGGTAGAGTGCTGACCTTGAGCTGAAAAGCTGAGGGACAGTGTCCAGGCCCAGAGTTCAGGCCCCACTACCAACAAGAAAAAAACAAAAAACAAAAAACTCGTTCTTTAACAATCAAGGACACACCAAACTCTCACCATTATAATCCTCTCTCTGGGATTAGGGGATGACCACAAACTGCTTTAAATTATAGGAGGCTAACACAATAAGTAGCTCCCACTGATCAATAACAGAAGTTCTTACTAGATTTTTTTTTCCTTTTAAACAATTTGCTACAAGCTGGCATTTGAGAGAATGGCTGCTTAGATAGAAAAATAGTTAGGTAAAGTTGGACATAGCTCTTAGAGAGAATCTGCAGTAGGAAAACTAGTAAAATCTGAAAAAAAAAATCCTGGGTTTATCTGAAAGTAATGTAGCAGTGTTGGTTCTTGAGTTGTGATAAATATACCAAGGCTACATGAGAAATGAACACTAGGAGAAACTGAATGAGGTGTCCATGGGAATGTGGTACTATCTTTGCAGTACTTATGAAAATCTAGAATTATTTCAAACACTTTACTTTCAGAAATTCATAAGTCAAACATAACTTTTGAACATAAATCTAACTTTCATCACAACTACTCCCAAGTTCAGTTAACTACACTAAATAACACCTATTGGAAAGAAGTATCTTTAAAGTACCAAGTCAACGTGGCCTATGATGATGCCAGCTAATCCAAAGGCATTCAGAGGGAGAAAATCCAGTCTTTGTCTTTCTCTACTCATTGATATAGAACACATATTGATGAGAGCTGACAGGAATATGAAATATACCCTTTCATTGAAAATAATTTAAAGAGCTAGTGGCACTCTTCACAGCTATCAGGCAGCCAGGTAAGGGGGCACTAGAAGGCTAAGGCAGGAAGATCATGAGTTCAAAGACTAGCTTGGGCTACAGAGAAGAGACCTATCTCAAAATCAATAAACAAACAAAAAGGGAGCAATCACAACAAATGTGATCTTCATAATGTATCTAATCTCCAGAAAAATTAACTGAACCTAAATCTACACTAAATATATGTTCTCCTCAGGATAAGACCCAAGAGTCAGAAAAGAAAGACTTTTATGATTAACCAATGAATCTTGGGAACAAAGCTCAACAGCTATTGTGTCAGCACTGCTGCACTTCAACCACACAAGGATTTTTATCAAGAAGTTTATGAAAAATCCTTTCTCCTTCCTTCCAAGTTTCTGATAGACAGGAAATTAAAATCTTAAGGAATTCTGACACAACCTTCCTGAATTCTACACTGCACTTCCAGATTAAGAGCTAGATGTACTACTCCTAGTCAGTAGTTCCCTGTGTTAGCCATGAGCCAGAATCATGTGAGCAGCTTCCTAAAAAAACCAGAGTTGCCTGGACATCAACCCATACTAATATATTAAAATCTGTGAGTGAGTGTAGGTGTTATGTATCTAAAGCTTTCCCTTCTTCCCATATGGAGACAAGAGTGGTGAATCATTCTTTTTCGTGCTGCTTAAGTGAGGTGTGGCTCAACCGAGAACATTACTTTATTAGAGGCCTTAGTGACTGCCCTTCTTGGTTAAAATAAAAGCACAGGAAACTAAATTTAAAGATAAAACCAAATTAATCTCTAGCATCAAAAAATCAATTACTTAGCTGGGAGCCAGTGGCTAAGATCTGTAATTCTAACCACTTAGGAGGCTAAGATCTGAGGATTACAATATAAAGCCAGCCTAGGCAGGAAAGTTCATGAGACTCCTATCTCCAATTAACCACCAGAAAAGCAGATGTGGAGGTATGGCTCAAATGGTGGGGCACCATCAAGGCTCTAAGCTCAAGCCCCAGTATCAGTACCAAAAAAATTATATATATATATATATATATATATATATATACATATATATATATATATGTATATATATATATATATGCACACACACATATATAATAATCTGAAAAAATCCAAAAAAGAAGACCAACATTGGAATAATATAGTTCAACAGTTTTAGATATGAAGATATGTAAGCCTGGTAACAGCAGCTCATGCCTATAATCCTAACTACTTAAGTGGCTGAGACCTTTGAAGATGATTGGCTCAAAGCCAAGCCCAGGCAGAAAACTCTACTAGACTCTATCTCTGGTTAGCCAGTAAAATGCCAGATGAGAGGTGTGGCTAAAGAAACAGAGTGCCAGCCATGAGTAAAAAAAGCCAAGCTTCCTTGGGAGATACATATTAAGAGATAGTAACTAAGGAGGCATATCCTCATGAATGAACCACTTCCCTAAATCTCCACAGAAATGGAAAGTTCTAGAGAGTAGGTATTCCTCTCTTTTTGTCTACTGTTTTCTAATTCCATGTGGAAGTAATTAACTTTATCAATAATAATATTATTATTAAGCTTTAGTCTCTTCTAGAGTAGTAATAAGGATGAGTATTTACTTATCACAAATTATTAATTAGTAGTAAGTGATTTTTTTTAAATAAGATATCAAATTAGAAACACAGAACCCATTTTCCAATATACGTGGCTATGAATCACAAGATAAATGATGTAACCTCACACCTTCCAGTTTATGCTGGAAAGGCTCCTAGATTTAGGTAGAGTTCCAAATGGCACCCAAGATAAACATGTTTTTCCATTGTCTCTCTAAAGACTACCCTACTTTAGCTTTCTCTGTCTCCTCCAGCCAATGTTCTAACATCTGAAGATTCTACCCCAGGTATCCCAGGAGGTTGACATAGTGACTCACAAGTAAAACATTCCTAAAACACACCTCATTTATTGTGGCATCTTACCAATCTTAATATGTTACTAACCAAGATCGCTTCTGTGAACCTTACCCCAATTATATAACATCTTCTAGTCCTTTTTTCCCACTCCAGCTTCCTCAGTGTATGCTTATCAAGTGGTAGAGTGCTAACCTTGAGCAAAAGAAGCTCAGGGAGAGTGGCCAGGCCCTGAGTGCAAGCCCAAGGAATGGCAAAAAAAAAAAAAAAAGAGTTTATGCCTGTTTAATGGTTTTATTTCTGTGCAGAGATATTCATGTTACCAACTAATATGTATACAGGACCTATTAGATATAAAGTAGATACAACATGAATAAAACACTACCTTATTTTTCTAGCAGCTTAGTCATAAAATGACTAAATTGTATTTTACATGCATGACAAATACTACTGGGATAGCTCATCATAATAATACTCTTCTGGCATCTAAATGTACCATTTGGCACGGATAAGCATTTTTACTGGTGAAGATATTTAAAGGTAAGGTACATTGGTACAGTTATTGACAGCAACTCTGAAAACTCAAAATAAGCAGACACGTCCACCAAAGTAATCACAATTCCAACATCTATACTATACTTGTGTATGTGCTTCCAAAATGAAAGACAGTTAATGGAATGATGTTTATAACAACACCCTCATTGCCAAGAAGAAAATGGTTAAGTAAAAACCATCTCAATGTAATATTACATAGCAATTAAAAATAAATAGGCACTAGGAAAACTGTGGGGATAGGTGTGGTTTGGAAGAATGAGGGAAGTAAGAGTGTTGTTGATCAAGAAATATTGTACTCATAAGTCAACATGTTGAAACTACCCCTTAGTACAACTACTTAAAGATACAGAATATAATTTTTAAAAATAAACAGAAAGCCAGGTGCCAGTGGCTCACACCTGTAATCCTAGCTACTTAAGAGGCTGAGATCTGAGGATCATCGTTCAAAGCCAGCCCACACAGGAAAGTCCCTGAGACTCTTATTGCCAATTAACAGCTAGAAAACTGGAAGTGGCACTATGACTCAAGTGGTAGAATGCTCACCCTGCTGAGGAGCTCAAGGACAGCTCCCAGGCCCAGAGTTAAAATCCCACAGTTGATAAATAAATAGATAAATAAATAAATAAATAAGAAGGTCTGCACTCTAATAGATTTTCAAGTCAATAAAGCAAGTTGCAAAACATGTATAGTTTTTTATAATGCCTTTCATGTTTTTAAAGGATGCACTCAAAATCTTTACTTTCATATTTATATTGGAGTGAGCAGGAAAAGAGACAGAAGAAAACACTGCAGCTTGACAACTTCTGTGGAAAAAGTCAGGGGACAAAGGCAGGCAACAGGAAGAAAGTAGTTTCTATTTTCATTCACTTTGATCTCTCCTCTGCCTTTTCAGATCTGTATGGACTATACGGCCCATCATAGCCAAGCTATCTGAAGTTACATTTTCCTGCTTTAACCATTCTATTTTTATTCCTTTGGCTCCTATTCCACTGTAACAGACCTGTTACAGTCTGTAACAGACTGTAACTTACTTCCACTCCTGTTGCAATGTGAGGTCTACAAGGATGGGAACACACTGTTTTTCTCCCAAGGTACTCATCCCCATACTTACTAAACAGTGCAGAGCAAGCACACATAATATACATTTTTGAAATACTTATACACTTAACACATTTTGATTCCCTTTATTATAGAAAATAAAATACTTTATGCTTTGCTTACAGGAAACAATTTGGGGTTGTTGGCAATTCAGAGGACTGATTTAATTAACTAAAAAGCTGGAAGGACACAGCACCATTATTATAACACTTTATAACAGCTCAGGCTATGGAAATGCTAGCACATCGTACAAGGAAATGGTATAAGAAAGTTGTTGTGAGAAGCTGTGCAATAGAGCAAGGGAAGTAAGTGATCCCTAAACTGTGGAGGAGATACTTGTGTGCAAACACATTTATTCTTTAAGGAATAATAAAAAAAAAACTATTCATATGTTTTCTTAAGTAAACACCAGTGTGGGATCAGACCTAGGCTACTGGGAAATCAAGTGAGTTCAGAGTCAGGGAAGTGTCTACAATTGACAAATGCCAGTCAAGAAGATAGATAGTGATGCTTGAGTATCAAATGACAGCATGCCTTACATTTTTCCCTCTCCAACCTATGTAGAAATCGTTCTTGCTAACAGTTCCTACCATTATCTCCAAAATGCATCGGTGATGAGAGCAATTTCATCAAGCACCTAGTAAGATACTGTCTCAACAAATCCTTAAGAAGAAAGACTGGCACTCAGCAGTCTGTTACCAAGGGAAAATATAGTATTATCAATGAAAATGTCCTGTAGTGAACCAATAATGAATGTTTTTGAGCTGATGATGCTACTTGAAGCATCTTCTTTTGTTTTACTTCAAAGCAGAACTCACACTTTTAATGAGAGCTACTCTTAGAAATAAATGAAACCAGGACTCTGTATTTCACTCTAGGAAAAAAATAAAAGGAGAAAAGAAGGTAAAGAGAGGGCAAAGTTCATGACATCTGGTAAGATCATTCAAAAACACCAGCTTATCTGTGTAGTCAATATATCTCACTCCAAAAGTTGAACAGAGTGCCCCTCCAGAGAGGAATATGTTCTTAACCCAAGTCAAGATTTCACGCTTGAGATGAAAAGAGTAGTTCATATAAGAAATAGGAGGAAGTAAGATAGTTCTGAAGGAAAGCTACCACTGGGCAGCAGGTGCACTGAACATCTCAGGAAAAGTCTAACTGTGTATACGGAAGGAAGTCCAGGCAAGAGAGTGACTTGTGTTTCTGTTGTGGACCTCCTGCCAATCTCAGCTGGCTACCATTACTTAAAACACGATGGTAAGAAGATTTATTCAGCTGAACAAAAAGAAATGTCTGCTAACTTAAAAAAATGGGATGAATATCATGTGTAGTCCCAGGTTTCTGTTTTCTATAATGAGGCTTTATCAAGGTACACATTAATTACCAGGGGTGTAAAACATCTATAGCTACTTAAACATGCTCAAATTTCCTCTAGGAGAATTAGTGAGCTATACTCATCATTAGGCATTAAAATAATTAATCAGATGGAATAAGTAAAAAAATGATCTCTTAATCAAAAGATGACCAGTTCTCAAAGGGAAGCTATTAAATGAGTGCTCCTTGCCTCCAAGTACCCAGGAGATTTAAACATCGAGATTTAAACATCAAGACTAATGACTTCAACCTGAAGTTTCTGCTCATTTTAGTAGAAGCATTATTGTAAATTAAAAACCCAGCAGCAATTTTAAGTGTATTATGCTTACTATATTTTCTAAATGACAGTACTACTATGAATTTAGAGTAATTATTATCTAGTCAGTGCCAAGGCCTCCAAGGAGTATACTTTACAAAATATGTGGCACCTTTTAAGTACTCTGATCATCTCGATCTGATGGAGGGAAGAAGAAGCTCAGAGAATACAGTCATTTGACCTGATTTGACCCATCCATAGCAAATAAGACAGAATCAGAACTTATAAAGTCTATATTTTTCCTTTTATTTTCTCCTTCATGAGATCTCCAAGTCTCTCTTGCTGATGGGTCAGACACTGATACCACAATGAAGAATAAACTGGTGAAAAATAAATATAGGAACAGATATCTACATATACACATATACATAAGTAGTCACTGCTTACCTGTGGGTTTTCTTCTTTTACTCTTCGTGACTGTAAAACAATTACATATCTATTAATATTCTCAAAAGTACAGTGGGAGGACAATATACACAGCTTGGCTGATAGTCACCAAAGCATGTTACCTTTTCTTGAGAAGCAGCTGCTTTCCCCTCTTCACTTTTCTCATCCATCTCGTCGTCACTCCACTCCCAATCACCGTCTTCCGTTTTATGTAGGTGACCACTTGACCCAGGAACTCGTCTCACCTGAATCCAAACAAAACATACCATTCTTCACTGGTCAAGTGTGCACAGTGCTCACTGGTCATGCTATAATTTAGTGACATAGCACACACATACTTCCCTGAAATAACCAAAGTGGTTATTCAGGGTTAACTAGAAGATCCAAAAAGCCTACACAGCCTCTGGACTCCCACACTCACCCTCTTTCCAAAACATATTTCTCTAAACACATGCAGAACAAAACATTTTGAAAGAACACCACACTCAAAGCTTTAATGATCAAGTTTGTTTTTCACTTTTACTTAATTAACAACTGTACTAGTATCTACATACACACACACACACACACACACACACACACACACACACACACACACACACGCCATGTGATTGCCTTCAAATTTGCCTAAGGAAACATAAGGAAGCAACTTCCTGCTGACTGAGCAGAGGCAGGGCAATCAGAAAACCTAATGAAGCATGCTAGACTAGACGTATGCGATCTAAGACCTACATCCACACAGCAAATACCCTTCTGTTGCCACCTTGCTCTTTTTCAGAACCTGACATCATGCTTGCATTCCCAGGATTCTGCTCAACCTACTTGGACAAAACAAAATAGCATCAGTCTATTCCTAATACACTTGTCACATGTTTGAGAGTTCTAAAAATATTGTTATTGTTATAATAATAATAATAAAGTAGTAGTAGTAGTAGTAGTAGCAGTAGTGGAAGTAGTAGTACTTTCTAAGCTTGATCTAACCCACAGGGAATGCTTTCCAAATGTCTTCATGGTTGAAAAACCAAACTTAAAAGGATAGAACAACGGGAAGAGCTACTGAGACATAATCAAACAAAGCCCTGCAGTAGATGAACATTAAATGAACGTAATGGCTGGTGGCCACTGATTCAGAGAAACTCATGGTAGATAGAGATGACATATTCAGCACTTCCTTTTACAGAGGAGATGATGGCCCAGAAAATGCCTTGAAATCATGCAGCTATGAGGCAACATAAAAGTACAAAGCAATGCCTTCAGATACCCATTTTCCTCATGTCACTGAATGATTATTTATAAAGTATGTCCTTTGAAAACTCCAAAAGTCCATACAAAAAAGGTAATTTTTATAATAGAAATTATGTAGTCAAATCATAGGCATGTCATTTGACCCAAGGAAAATACCAACAAAACTGAATATATGTCAGATCAATGTGAATCCATAAACGACACATGCTTTGGGCGATAGGCTGGCATTGGGAGGCACTGCCTTGAGAACCTGGGAAAGTTACTATGACTATTTTGTCTGGAAGTTTTGAATTCCAACAGAGTAAACCTTAAAAGGAAATAAAAAGTCACTCACCATTGCAAACTGTTAGGTCTAACTTTTTTTGAAAAAATGTTTTTAACCAGCTTACCTTTGAAACAGTGCAACCACTTTTGTGCTTTGCCTAGGCTATTGTTTCCAGTTGGGTTCTGAGCTGCTGTGAAACCTATTCTAATGATGGTGATTTTAATAGTGCTTAGAGATGCTGGCAAAGTCTTTGAAAAATTGCTGAAATGCACTTAAGGGTTTTCGGAACAGATTGCTCATCTTTAAGACTTCAAAGAAATGGGTAACAGAACAGAAAATAATTTTCTGTTGACATAGACAATAAAAATAATTATTTTCTTGGCAATACTAATTACAGCGAAGGGCACTGGTTAATGAAAACATTTAAAAGGAAGAATTTAAGTCCCATTATAAAATATACTATTAACTAACAAGTGAGAAAAAGAAGTAAAATTATGGATAAAGACAAAATAAAACTACTCCTAATAAAGCTGTAGATGAATTAATTAGTTGATGAGTTAGTATTCTTCAAGACATTGCATGAAAAAAGAGACTAGCTTTATACTGTGAAATATAGTTCATGCCCTCTTTCCCTCTGGCGCTATATATTTGCAAGATTGTCAGTTTCATTTCCACAAGCAGGATCCAACTATGAACAATAAAATGGCCATCCTCTTCTATTTCTATTTTATTTTAGGACCCTAGGTTTATTTGCTGAGGGAGAGAGATAAAACAAAATGTCTAGGATGATAGCCCTTAACTGTGAAAGAAATGAGAGATGGGCCTTTAAGCAACAGATATTAGTTACATTAACAAGTGTAAATGCTGAGCAAATTAAGTAAGACTGGAAACATTTAAAATCTATGAAAGAGAAACGTCTGATATTAAAAGAAAAAGAATCCAAGTTAGTCTCTAAGAATATGCCCCTGGCTTGCGCCTAGGAATAAAAAATTTTGAAGCAAAGGTCTAGTAGTATATTTATTTATGTGATATTGACTTCTATTGAAGAGACAAGAAATTGTTTTACAAAGTCACATCCTTGTAGGGAGTTTGTAAGGGTGAAGAAACAACCTTTACCTTTTAAAGTCAAGGCACCTATATTTACCATAATGTGAAAAACAGCCTTAAGAGTTAAGAGCTACAAAATACTTTGGAAAGTAGAACCTTCACTCATAGAGGTATATTTTCACTTCACTATAATGATTAACAAAGGAGGTTATTTACTCTTGGAATTCGAACTGCATTACTATTGTTTGGCTTTGGTTCCATTAAAAAGGTGTGCACTCAGTAAAGCCCAGTGAATTTAATGCAATGAATTTAATCTCTATTTTCTGTGGTAGAAGGGGGAAAGAAAGGGTTGGTTGCAAAATTGAGTAATTCTCAGAGAAACAAGCTCCTTCCTAGATGTCACCAAGTTAAATCCACAATCCCACAAATACCTCAAGTCACAATTGGAAGTAGTAAAATTTAAAAAAAAATCTTCATGCAAAGCAGCAGACACATTCTTTAAACACGTTATTTATGAAAACCCATTACTGAAATGAACCCAAGCTCAGATTGCCACAGAGAAGAAGACAGGCTCTGACAGACATGACAAAGGAGGAGTTTAGCTCGCTGGAAGGTTCTGGTGCCCAGTGAGCAAAGATGTGTAATGCAAGGTTGCATAGCAGCAACCAGGAGGCAAGGGTGGCAAGGTGGAAAATCTGCAGAGCACTCTCGCTAATGATTCCAGGTGTATTCCTCTCTAGAAATATGAAGTGTCACCATCCTGGTCCAACACCTCAGACATGCCAACTTACCCCTGACTCCAGAACAGAGAGGAGGATAGGAAGGAGAATACAAGACAATCAACAGATGAATTTTCTGTGGAGGGCATGCACTATGTCAGAAATGGGAAGCATGAGTGTCTAACATACTACCAAACAAAAGAAGAATGCGACCCTAAGAAATATGGGCACAATTTAGTCTCATGTTCAAATGCTACCCACTCTCTGAGTGATCTACCAGTTTCATTAACTTCTCCCAGAATATGGATTTCAGCATGTCCTTTGGACAACTTTCCCTTCTTTGGACACTCTACTTATCCCTCTCTTCCACCTGCACAATATAGTATGTGCCTGACTCCAGCTATACCTGGTCACCCAGGGGCTCACCACTTCAGCCTGGCTACCTAGGCCTCACTAGACACAACAGAAGCCAACACAGTTCTATTTCTGTTCCCAAACATTCTATTAACTAGAAGTACAAAAATTACTTCTAATTAATTGCTGTTTTTGCATACTTGAGATACTGCCAAACAAACAAAAAGCCTTCTCAATTATCAAACACAAAGTGAGACTGGGTAAGCTTTTAGTGGTAAATATTTTACTGTATTGTAACTTGTGTTCTGACTTTAGCTCCTCTGAGTACTACATCTCTCAGCACTTCTGGACCCGCTGGCCCCTCCAGCCTAGGTCCTCTCTGGCCTGCCAGTCTTTACTACCTACCCCACAAGGCCCGGAGCCCAGAGCTGACTCACGCAGACTTCCTACTACCTCCTACCCCCTTCTCTAGCCAGATCCAAAAGTCAGCCTATGCATCATTTATTTTCTACCACCTTATAGACCCATTCTTTTACCTCAAACTTCTCTGAACCCTAGGTTCATGGTGTTTCTCTTTCTACTTCTCTCTCCTACTGTTCTTTGCCATTACCATGACACGGTCACTCCTCTCCCATTACTAGCTCTCACCTCACAAACATGATGGCACTAAATGAACACACTCCATGTGTATGCTGAGTAAACACACTTCAATACTCTTACCTTAAGCTGATGGCCATGCAAGCTTTGACTCTTAGTCTTGCTGTCCTACTGCTCAGTTGAGTGTAAGCAGCTCAGTAATTACTCAAAATTGATTTTACCCCCTCTAGCTTATTTCTCAATCCTGTACCCCGCATCTCTCAGATTCATTGTGAAACTTCCCCAGTGCTGTCTGAGTGAACACATCTGAACACCTCCCCTCCCACCTTCACCCCTAGCATGAAGACAAAGGGCATATTCAACAAAAGCTCTGAACATGTCTGCCACATTAAAAACTCTCAACGGTATGATGGGTGAGATTATTATCAAGACATTTAAATCTTAGCTCATATCTAAATCTATCAAACATTATATTTTGTAAATTTTACCTCCTCAGCTACCACTGTGTACAAGTAGGTCCCCTTGAGTGCTGCCTTCTTGCCTCTCCTATTGAAACAAACTCCCCTCCATCTCTGAGTCTCTCAGCTCATGCCTACTTTATCCTTCATATTGCTACAAGGAACACACAAGCACTTTCTCAAAAAACCTGCAAGTGTTTATGATGTATCCAGGTTCCATGTTTGTTTGTTTTTTGTTGTTTTGTTTTTTTGGTTGTGGGGCTTGAACTGTAGACCTGGGTGTTGTCCCTGAGCTCTTCAGCTCAAGGTGAGTGCTCTACTACTTGCGCCCCAGCACCACTTCTGGTTTTCTGGTGGTTAATTGGAGATAAAAGTCTCACAGACTTTCCTGCCTGGGCTGGGTTTGAACCGTGATCCTCAGATCTCAGCCTCTGGAGTAGCTAGGATTACAGGCGTGAGCCTCTGGCACCTGGTTGTATCCAGGTATTTAACATTCAAGTTTCTAACTCTACATCCAAATGGCCCTTTTCATAACTTATTTTCTACCATGCCCCTTTACA